CCTGGGTTGCACTGAGATGTGAAAAGCAGGGGCATGGGGATGCACTAGTCTTCTGCCAGCCAAAGAAGTCTGTTGCATCTAAGAAGAATGTTCTTTCCTAAATGGACCCAAGAGGGTTATGTTCTTTGGAGTTTCTAGGCAAGCAAAATGTCTTGAGTTTTTACAATTATTTTAGTGTCACATTTGCAAATAAGAAATAACTTCATTTACACTTCAAATATTTTTAGAAAGTGCAAAAACATTGTTATTTTGGCAGGGAAGAAGAATAAGCCAAACACACATCTTAAAAATGTGTTCCTTAGTTTAGCTGTATAAAAGGTATGTTGTCATCAAAAAGAATACTCAGAACAAAAACGGTAGATATAAAATTGACTGAGCTTCTGGAATTGTAAAAGATACTATATTCATAATGACAATGGATTAAAATTGGTTTTATTATATTAAAAATAAGCACAGTAAAGACTTAACAAATGTCCAAGGCATACTGTGAGAAATGGACTTCTAAAAAACTTGCAGTCTCAAAAGAGAAATCCAGAATAATCTATTGCCTGTAACAAAAACAAGCAGCTCTGTGAATGAAGACTTTATAGTAGAAAGCCACCAAGCAAGATTGAGCACTGTCCACAGTTGGAGCTTCACTTTAGTTTTATCAAAGCTGGCTGGCAGTAAAACGTGAGACATAACTTCATGAATGACAGAAACATAGATTCATGTGGGACCTCCAAAAGGTCATCTGACCCAAAGCCCTGCCTAAAGCACGTTCAGTTAGATCAAGCTGCGAAGGGCTTTGTCTAATCAGGGTTTGAAAGGTCCTTTTCAGGGCCCTTTCTGCAAAGCCACTTTACAGGCGGCTGGCCCTGAGCATCTGCTGGTGAATGGCATTATTCCTTCCACGGTGCCTTCACTGAGTGCCGAGAGGTTCCTGCCAGCCCATTTCTCCAGCCTGTCCCAGTCCCTTTGAACAGCAGCCCTGCCCTCCAGCATACTGGCCACGTTTTCCCAAGTTGGTATTGTCCACTCACTTGCTGTGAGTACATGCAACCCATCATTCAAGTCATTAATTGAGACATTAAATAGTTTTGGCCACAGTTTTCATTCCTGAAAAACTACCGTTAATTGGCTGCCAGCCGAATTTTGTGCATCAGACTTTGAGCCTGGCTCACTGTTTGTTTATTCTCCGTATCTTATCAGTTTGGCTCATGGCTGAGTATTTAGCTAGTTGTAGGTTCAAGCAACTTCCTTCACTTAGCACTTTGATATACATTTAGGATATGGTGGTCTTTTATGTTAAGGCAATCAGTTGAAATGTTTATCAGTTTGCTAGGAGATAGACAACCGTGTATGAGCTGTGATGTATGAATTAATGGATCTGTTAGTTCCTCGCCAAGCAGTTTGTTTAATTTATCTTCATGTTACTAAATCTATACCTTGGATAAACAAATAACAAGCTGGCCAAATATTTACTTATTTCTCTATTCAGTATTATGCTTCTCCTCCCTTCCTTTGTTAAGTAAGGTAATTCCTACTGCTCAAAAGGACATTATAACCCAGAAAAGTAAGTCAAAATTATCAGTAATATAGATTAATGAATAAAATAAAGTGAATAACATGCTTATTGAGTTGCATTAAATACTGTAATACTTCTTTTTTTGAGAGATTCAGACAGAGAAATTGCTTTTCTGAGAGTAAAACACTGCGTTATAGGTTGCCTGTAGGGTAATTGAAATGAGAAGTAAATTGTTCTACAGATCAATAAATTGTTTCTGTACTATAATGATGGATAAACCATGTAGTTTATTGAAAGAAAGATGAAGATTGCCTGTATGTGTTTGAACAATGTTTCAATTAGCAGAAAGTCCTGAAAAGTGGTATGACTATCCTATGCAGTACATTAAATGGAAAGCATCTGAGTGAATGTTAACATAAAAATTGAGAACCAAGTCAGCCTCTACAGAATCTTGATCCATAAGCCACCAGGCAGCTCCTCTAGAACAATTTAGAGCATCCCTAAGACTGCTGAAAATTTGTGCTTTACAACAGCTCATGGAAGGCCATGATGCTGGGAGTGTAGGGACAATCTGTTTAACTCAGGCAGATTTGTTGAAATAGTTTTCTTACAGACTGGTATCTGATCCTTCGGGCTCCTAACTTCCCAACCAATTTTCAGAGGGTTGAGACAGGCTCATAGTCTACAATAAAGAATCAGAAAGTCACAGTATATGTATCCCACATTGTTTTTAATGTCCTATCAAAATTTATTCAATGCCTAAGGAAATGTTCAATTGAGCCTTTAGCTGGTTCCAGTAATAAAGTTTACAATGATTTAGTGTTTAGTAGGAACATGTCCAATTTCCACCACTAGTCTAAATAGATGTCTATAATATATTTTATCTAAACTTTATGTTGCTGAATTTTATCCTCTTATGTGTTTGTTGTTTTCGGATAGTATTGTTTCTAATTATCTATTTAGTTCGTGTCTGTATGAGACATCTTCAGGCTGTCTCTGTGAAGCAGTGGTTACATACTTGTTGGGATACATTTCTGACCTTATCATCTAAGAGTTTTTATTTTTTAACAGTTTTCTTTTCATTCCATCCATTTTTTGGAAACATTTCAGTTCTACAAATACTGACAGATATTAATTTAATGAGTGATTTCAAATATTTATTTTGCTTGAAGTTTTAATATTTCAGAATGTTTGGAGATGGTATCAGTAAAATAATTTTCTGAAACAGATGGCTAACACTTGGAGTGTGATTATAAAGCAGAGTGTAGTGTCATGTGGATATATTTGAACTAGCTTGACTATTTGTAAGTCTCTAATTAGTTCACCCTATCATGTGGGTTATAACACTTTCAGTTTCTCAAGTGGCTTGATTATATAAGACACTCTTTATGGCCTGTACATAACATAATCTTTACAGCCTAACCTTTTCCTTTTTGGAATGCATTAGTCAGAGCAAATGTGTCAAAAGACTGCATTTCACATTTATTTTAACAATAAGTAAATTCCAAAATTAATCTCATCCCATCAGTATAATTTTATGTATGAAATAAAGCAACCAGCAATATGAAAGTGTCAGTTGACATCATCTGTAAGCACGAAGCATTGCAAAAGAATGCATAGCAGAGCATGTATTTGGAAATTTGTGAAAATGGATTTTATATACATATCAAAGAATTGCATCAAAGAATTAACTATACGTTTTAATCGACTACTAAGTAATTTTATCGTTACATCAGTGTTAGTATTTTCTTTGTTACACGGTAAATTAGACTTTTTCTCTTGTTCTGCTGGACCTTTCTTGTTTCCCTTGAGATTTCCCTAATGCATGGTAACTTATTTTCTGTTTTCCTAGGAAACCTCTCTTTCCTTTTGGACTAACAAAGTTTAGTGCATTTGTCCATCCTTCTCACGCTACTATTTGTTTATTAGTATTTTGGCCTAGTAGTACAAAAACAATTCAAGGCTATAAATAGGTTTAGGAACCATTCTGCAAGGAATTAGACAAATTTGTAATAAAATCTTCTATTTTCTAACAGGTGTCTAAAGTTAGTTAGTTGTATTTTAGTGATACATTCATTCCCTCTGCAGTTGCAGGTTCTGCAGATTTGTAATTTCTTCAGTCCATCCAACAAATAGTGGTTTTCTGCCATAATGCAGGTTTACCATCTGAATTCAATTGAAATTTTGTCTTTCTCTTTCTATGTGCTTACCAAAGGCACCTCGGCAGTCATGCTAGCTGGTTTAAACTCAGCAAACTCTAACAGCATGTAGCTTGGATATGTAGCATCTTCTGTTCCACTGTCCTGCACCTCAGTGTTGCACTGTGGCATTCACTATCACGGAATGCCTGAGAGGAATACTGAAGAAACTCTATAGAGTTTCAGAAGATATGCAATAACAGAAGTTTTTCTTTTCTGCATTGGTGGTTGGGCTGTGATGTAAAGTGTGCAGGTTGTTGGGGAGGGATTTGGAAGGGGGAGCAGTTGGTAAGTGCACACCTTCTGTTGAGTGTGTATTCTCCTTTTCAGTGCTGGTAGGTTTTAGCATCCCTGCTGTGTTACCATACTAGCATTACTGGAGAAAATTTCTTTGAGCTGTCTTTCTGGCCTAGTTTCAGATGGAAATTGAGGTCTATGTAATCACATTGTGTCTGTTTGCCACTTCTCCTTGTGGCACCTTCCTGTCCACCAGTCGACTTTGTACGTGTTAGGAGATTTAATCCAAAAGGATGGAGAGAGATAAGAAAATTATCTTTCCAAAATGTATTTAATTTTCTAATGATTAACCTAACAGGTTAGAAAAACACTGAAAGGAGGTCATAGTTATTATGGATGCTTTTTATGGGCACAATTGTGTAATACTTTTATGTACCCATGATGTTCATTTTCCCTTGCTGTGCATGCCAGTTAGAATTTGTGTGCAAAGGGTTTTGTGCCACAACAAACATGCTACAAAGTGGTAATGGTAAAATATTAAGATTTATTCTATTTTTCTGTAGAAAAAGAATGTGTGTTGATTCAGTGTTGCAAAATGTTGATTCAGTGTTGCAAAACTGATCGGATTTCAGAAAAACAAATTATAAATATAACGTACAAAGATTTTCCAGTTGAAAAGTACTCCTTTGACTACTCATTTGATGGTAACTTAGTGAAAATAAATACATTTTGGTTTATATATATATTATAAAAATACTGGTGTGAAGTGAGCTTCAGAGTTAATTTCTGTGTTATGTGATGAACAGCAAAAATAACTGAAAACCAAAATCCTGCGTTAGCTAATTTGGATTTTGAATCAGAAATGAAGGCATCCCAAGTAAAATACAATTCCCTTTTAAATCCTTTCAGCAATCTAAATAAGTTCATAAGTTTATTTGTCAGTTTTGCATATGAAAAACTCTTCCATTTACTCAGAATTGTATCAAGCACATGACAGTTCTCTAATTTAGTTTGGCTAGAAAATGTCCAAGCCATTGTGGGTTTTTTTTTCCCCTCAGAACATTATCAACTGTATGTTCCTGAATCAGCTCAAGTTGGATCAGCAGTTGGCAAAATCAAAGCAAATGATGCAGACACTGGTTCAAATGCAGACATGAAGTACACAATTATAAATGGTGATGGCTCTGGGGTGTTCTCCATATCTACTGACAAAGAAACAAGGGAAGGAATTCTTTCCCTGAAGAAGGTAAGCAATAGACATTGGGAGTTCCCTGTGTATGTAATTAACATATAATGATGAACGCTAAATAAGCAGATAACATGATGAAGATGTTTTACTGTGTAAACCTATTGAACCATGAACTTTAGCAGCGCAAGCTTCTCCACATTGCTTCCTGAGACACGTTAAATCTATGCAAGAAAGGCAGGGAGAAAAGAAATTCAAGGAAAGAAAGAGTTATTTGAATCTTCTGTGCTTTTTGAATGGTCATACCTAATATTTATAATAAACTAAATCTTACTGGATTTTTGATTAAGATGGTTTGTTTTTTCTGAACAATGGTTTTGCATGTTAAATTGCTTTGAAAGAAGGAAAATTTGGCTGAAAGTTTTACTGTTGTCCCCAAACTGCATGAATTTTGACATAGAAAGTTTACCTGTGACAATCAATGTATAATTCAGTTTTCATAGACTGTTATTCTTTGACTTACTTGCCAGCTGGCATCTAAATGGTCAAGTGTTGTGCACTGTGTAATGTAAATACCAACTTGCTTATAAAGACCCAAAATGTAACTGGTCAAACCATCACACAGTTATCGTGTATATGAATTTCCTGTATTTATTACAGTCTATTTAAACTATTAATTACAATGTGTTCTTGCCATCTAATTTCATTCTTTACTGAATTCCATGCACAAATCTAATTCCATAGATAATTTCATCTCCATATTAAGTCCTCTGAACTGAGTTCATAGTGAACATTTCTTGAAGTGTCTGCCAACTTATGCCAATATTCTATGACTAGATTTAATTTTATAATAACACAGGGAGATGGGTTATTGTATTTAAGTAATATTTTTTAAAAAATCTTTTCAACAAAGAGAAATAATTTCTTGATTTCAGTTTTCACTTGGACTAACAGACATCAGTTAGCAATTCTTCTGTGGATTTGTTGTGATTAATCTTGTAGGCATCAATTATACCCATACAGCCTAAAAAATAAAAATGAATTTGTATTCATATTTGGTAATATGTATTCTTGGCCTGATTAACAGTAGGAGAATTGAAAACCAGAGAAAATGTGGGAAAAGAGAATAAATAAAGACTATCATAAAGAATATTTTTTGCATCTGAATAGATATGTATGTATGTAAAGTTTTAGGTGACATCTTATTTGAGGTTTTGTAACTAAATGAAATGTTATTTTTATAATTCATAACGATTTAAAAAGGGCTCCTATCTCTCCCAGTATCTTAAAAAGCTTAAATTCAGTATTTTTTATCAAGGTTGTATAATACCCACCTCTTTCAGCCACATAAATGTAAACTCTGTCTTTTTTATACCACTGGATGTACTTCCTGGTGGCCTTGATGTAGCTAATGCCATAATCTGTTATTTCTTCTTCAAAATAAGCATTGTTCTCTGTTCAGAAGTTTACCATGAGTATTTCTGCTTAAATACAACATTTATGCATATTGATGAAGCAGAAAGGAAGAATTTGCAACAAAATGAGAGAGTCCATACATAAAAAGCGTAAAATCACATTTCTTACCATTTTTGGCGGTTTAAGAGAAATTTTCACTATGTTTTAGAATATGACAAAAGCATATGTTGCCTGTTCTTATACATACACGTGACAGTGATTTGAGTCATTTTCCTATCAAGACAAGAAGGGCTACATTTTGCTTAGGTAATGTTGTATTTCGGTTGAGCAGTAATTCAGCACTTAAAGCTACACCAATTGGTATGGAATACCTCCATTCTTTCCTCTGAGAAGTTATAATATCCCCTTGTACAGTATAAAAAGGGGATCTCTTATTTTAATTGTTTTTTAACTCAGATCTTGTGTGGAGTTTACTAAGTGTTTTATGTACTGTGTGCTGTAATTACTTCTAATTTAGATTGCGTTTGAAGCTGAATTAGTTGAATAGCCTATACAAAACAGATCATCTCCACTAAGAACAGAATTGGTTCTGTTTCATTTATTACATGTCTGTACCTTCTATAACAGTAGAATGGAATGATTTGTCCTGTAATACTCCTTTAGAGGAGTGTACAGTAGGCACATCAGAAAAGCCAGTATTAAATATATTACTGTGCCCGAAGATCTTAAGTCCTCCTTAAACCATTTGAAACTTGACTTATTTGAGGTTCTAGTGCAAAAATAAAATTTCTCAGTGCCTCCATGCAAGGCTGTTCAACAGGCATGCAAAGTCTGTGAATGCTGGAAGGAATCTTTTCTAGTCTCATTTTAGGCTGACCCAAAATATCCAGTACTTTCATTATCTCCCCTATTGACAAGCCCTGTGGAGCCACACTTTGGTCTCAAAGATCCTGTCACAAAGGGTTGATTGCAAACTGTCATCAAGGATTTCCCCTTTGCCTCATGCAATTCCTTGTTTGAGTGAAGACTAGAGGAAAGCAAAACAAAATGGCACAGTAAAAGCCATTACTCTCTGGATCCTTCAGAGAATTACTGGTCAGCACGTTCCCCTCTTCTTGTGACTTTCAGAGAAGTATGCTAGAACTTTCCTGACCTCAAGTCAGCAAGTATCATCCAGACTTTCCAGAAAAAAATGGTCTGAACAGCCCATGTCTCTTCCATTTTGTATAATAAGACTGGAAATGCTTATGAAACATTACATCCTATAAAATTCTGCTATTCCTTTTGGGAGTCTGATATTAGAAACACAAACTGCAGTATAATGAACAGCAGTATTTTCCAGTTAGCCCTGTGAGTGGTCACTTGAGCTACATTTAGTATTTTCAGTTTTGCACGAAAACCATAGTAACCAATGAATACAAACTGAAGATATGTGGATAATTATCATGGAAAGAAACTGTTCTTTGAGAAAATAAGATCCATGAACAAAATTATGTTTAAGTCCATCTAAAATTTAATTTTTTTTTCTTTCCAGGAAATAGGTAATGATCTTCAGTGTTGGGACAATGTCAAGTAAATCTAGAAATGATCTAAATTTCTAGAGAGACAGAGAAATGCTGCCTTTCATAGCTACAGCTAAAAAGACAGAGCATTTAAACTTAGGTTTTATACATTACAAGTGAACATCTTTACAAGAATATTTGCTTCTCTTGGAGAGAGCAAGGGGTCAGACAGGACAAAGTGACATCTCTCTGGCTATTTGGACTTAAATGAGTCCTATTGTGAATCTAATGAGATGGTTAAAATATTTTCTTTGTAAATATATTTATCATTGTATATATATATATATATATATATATATCTTTTTTATGCCCAAACTCTTGCTGAATTAGAATAGCTTAGATATTTTAAGATGAATATTACAATGAATAGATTATATATAAAAAAAAGAGGAGACCAAAAACCTCCTACTGGTAAACATCTCAGATAACCTGAAATAATAGATGAGTCTATGAGCAAATTTCTTAGCACAGGATTAAACAGGCTATATAAATGGGGGCCCAATTTGTTCTTCAAATGTAAGATAAATGTCAATTTTAACACATGCACAGTGTTTAAGTGGAAACCCAGCAAAATACAGTTCTGTAAATTCAAATGGCAACCAGATTTAAGTTTTTAAATATTTAATTAAAAGGAAAAGTGATGTAACAACTGGACTTCTGAGTTGTTCAATGATTTGGAATATCGCAGGGCTTGCTTTGCTTACTTTGTCTATGGTTGAAATGTCAGCATTTTCTGATTATCTGAATGGATTATTCTTGTATTTTTAGACCAAAAAAAAAGTTGGTATTGTCTGATTGAATAACTACATAAAAGAAAGAAAGCAAGACTGTTTTATTCCTCATGTGTTTTCTAGGAGAAATTGATCTTCCAATACAACCTAATCCAGTCATTGTCAAAAGTTAATTTTCCAAAAAGGCATCATAGCTGCAATTTGCAATCCTATTGTAAACTTGTTTAATCTTATAATATATATGCTGCAGAGCAATGCAAATTACTATTTCATATTTCCCTGCTCATAACAGATATGCATCATATACTCTTTTTTTTTGTTTGGTAGTAATAGATTTATCAGTCATCTCTGTCATTGTTGCTGGTGAAGAATTAAAAAGAAAATGTCTGGAATACAGGGATGCACCCTTTCTGATTAGAAAAGCACACAAGCACGTGTTTAGGCTATTCTTAGACATTTAAGTTCCTGTCTGTTATGATAACTGAGTGTTTTCCTGCAAGGAGTTGCGTTTTTCAGTTGAGCATTTAAAAGAAGAGATGCTCAAAAGAATTTTAGTATCCCTATCACTGTCTATTAAACTTGTTAATTGAAGATAGGAATTAATTTAATTTGGGATATATCAGTCTCTACCTTTTTTTCAGAGTTTAGCATTGACCAATAAAAATCAAAAGGTGTTAAAATCCAGACACTTTACATTATCATGGAAGAAGAATCTGAGGCTCATTCTAAATCCTGAGTTCTTCCAAAACTGGTACCTTGCCCACAATTCTGTTCTAGAGAAAACCTGAATCCATCCTGCTTCATGTGTACCCTTCTACTTGCAAGGTATGGCCAGAATATCACAGAATATTTTCTTTCCAGCAGCATGAAGAAATGTGGTTTAATTTGAGCGGAAAAGATGTAGTTAGCTTGCTAGCAGCCTAAACTTAAGTATAGAAAGTCGTTGATAAATCTTTTTTTCTGCCAACAGCCACTCAACTATGAAAAAAAGAAATCATATACACTTAATATAGAAGGAGCAAACACTCACCTTGATTTCCGCTTTTCACACTTGGGACCATTCAAAGATGTAACAATGTTGAAGATCATTGTTGGTGATGTGGATGAACCTCCGCTCTTCACTATGCCTTCCTATGTCATGGAAGTTTATGAAAATGCAAAGATTGGGACTGCTGTTGGCACAGTAACGGCACAAGATCCTGACACTGCCAACAGTTTAGTGAGGTATAGTAAATCCAAATTATATGGGATTGAATTTCACTGGCTAAAGGGTTAATGAGATCTGGGGTGTATGAAACTGTCTTTTATTTTAGTACATAATGGGGAACATAGCTCAGAACAGTGTCATGATCAGTCTGTATAGATTTGATTTAATAATGCAATCTTCAGCCTTTTGTTGGTATGCACTGAAATTGCCATCTGTGTGCTCCTGTAACACCACTTCTCCAAACGGTCCACTGAACAAGGCCAGTATATCTTACCACATCTTATAAAATGGTGCACTTCACTGGCCTGCTGCCAGTCAGTATCCTGCCACTACTTGTAAATCTGGTCAGGATGATAATGCTGGGTTTCGCCAGTCATGCCAGTATTGTGCTGGTCCCCTGCACACTTGCCACACTGTAGTTGTCCCAGGCGTTTGCCCAAGACAGGAACTGGTTTAGGTATGCCTTTCCTAACAGACAAGCAGTGTAATTTTTGTAAAATTGTGTTTGAGGAGGAAGCCATTATTTTGTAATATGCTTTGGTTTTAGTGGGGTATTAAAAGAATAGAATGGATGTAATAATGCACCCCATTGGTGTTGCTAGGGATATGCCATGTCATCTCCAATTGTGAGGTCTAGGGCAAAGAGAAGTGCTGAGAAGCAAGCACTTGCAGCATCAGATGCATCATTTGAAAATTAATTGAAATGTAACATACTAGGAAGGAAAGATTTTGATAGTCTTTTTAATGAAGTTAATTCTTAAAGAAAATGTTCTCATTAAAAAGAAAAAAAAAAGAAAGGAAGAGTTCTGTGTTGCTGCTGTGGCCACAATACTTCTTATAATAACAGAACTGGATTGGAAATAGGTCATGGTCCACACTAAGGAACTGAAATAAAGCTGAAAATATCCCCATAGTGAGCTTGAAAATCATTGATGCCAAAAAAATATGCATACATGTTAATTTGACTACTTCTATACTTTAGGAGCATTTATATATTACCTTGAACACTCTGGAACTGGAGTTTGTGTACATTACTGGTTTAGAGTAAAGTTTTCAGTTACATCTTTTCAGCTATAATGGGATCCAATAACATTTTTTACTGGTTTCATTTGTGGGATAAGTTACTTTCTAAACTAACACGCAGCGTGAGAATTTTGTGGAACAATACATGAATGTTTGTCTCAAAGGTGGTAGTGGATTTAAAATGTTTCAGAAGAAAATTATTCATGAAAACTTATTTGATGCTGTTCCTTTTTATGACATAATGGTATAGCCTTTGTGGAAATCATATGAGTATATACTTGGAAAACAGTTTTTCTTAGCTAATTGGGCATTTTTAGTCTCCTGACTGAGTTGAAATCTGCTGGGTATGTGTAATAGATGGTAAGATGAAACAATTTTTGCAGAACAATGAAAGCATCAGGTTTTTATGGTTCTCTTGTGATAACAGTCCAAGATTCTAAATGTTTAGTGTCAGACAATCAATATATACAATTTCTTAGTGGCAAGTTACTGCCTTTGAAAACATGCCACTATAGTATTTATGACTAAATCATAATATAAATAAGAAAATTTCGCTAAAAAATAACAGCCAAGTGCCTGTAGCTTTAATGCTATAATTCTGAAACAACAGCTAACACAGTCAGACATATTAGCCATCATGGGAGTAGGAAGGACAAGTGACAAGTTCCTCCATAATTCAACCATCTGTGGCCCCTAAGAGTTTTGTCTAGAAAGGGGTAAGACAACCATGGTAAAAGGGAAGCAGCAGCAGTGTATACAAAGGCTGGGAAAACCAGAAATAGATTTTCTGGGTGAAATAGGCAGTAAATTGGAGATAGAGAGATTGAAAGGAAAACTATTTCCAAATCTTTTGCTTTTTGTATTGGCCTTTTTTTTTTCAAACAGGAATTTGTAACCAGGGATTGAGGCCAGAATATTAAATATCAATAGTATTCAAATAATTGAGGAGAAGAATTGACCTTACCTTTGTCTATCCTGTTTCCACCCCAACCCCCTTGACATTTATTTTTGCATTGTTCCTTCCATCTCTCTCTGTTTCAATGGGAAAAAAAAATAAAGTGCTAGCAAAACATACCAAATTGTGAAGCTCTGAAAGGAGCCAGCCCTCAGTTACATGTTGGAGGAGTTTGGCAAGGGCAGCAGCAGCTCAGATATCCTTGATGTATCATTATATTGTTACCAGGTCCACTCTCTAGCCAGGCTTTATCCATCTTGGTGGAACTGACAATGAATGCCATCTGTAAGCGTGCGTGCTTTTTATGACAATGCTGATTGCCTAAAGCCTGGACTAACATGTGCATGGGACTCTGAAGAGGTACCAGGCTGGGTTGGTGTGCCCTCAGGTTCTCCTTGAGCCTCCTCCTGTGGGAGGACAAAGGCTGCTCTGGGAATGGGAAACTTTAATCCCCCTTCCCTCACCTCACTTCCCATACAAAACACTAACATGGTGCAGAAGTGTTTTGTGTCATTTCAAGATTTGGCCACAGCTTGGTAAACTATGGGTTGGAAGTGGCAGATGACTTGAGAAGCAGGCCAGGCCAGCTGGGCTGAGTTGCCACTCAACTGGAGGCAGGGGCCTGCCTCATGCTCCCCTCACAGTGGTGAGCTGTTTTTCTCAGAAGCATGCACACAGTGCACTTATGTCCTTCTGTGCTGGTTTGCAAGAAATGCCTCCACTGTTCGTCTGAAACCCTTATGAGTCTGAAAGATAGTCTGAGGGTAGCGAGATCACATCTCTCCTTTGCTTCCACACAAGTCCTAGTTCATTCAAAATAAAAATAGTGATTATAAAAATAAAACCTGGAAGATTCAATGTAACTTTCTTAGGAAGCACAGATCACAGATTTTCCAGGGAATATAGCTACAGATAGGACTTGCACAGCTGATCTTTGTGGAGCCATGGAGTAATGGTTCCTCAGTCAAATGGCTCAGATACATCTCCAAATGCACAAGTCTACAGCACAAGCTATGGAGCAGCGATTTGCTTAACAGGTTTTCTTAATCTACTTGTCCTTTCCACTTTATGAGGATGCTCATTGCTGTGTGTGAGATTGATAAAGCATCCGGCACACACAGTGGCAACCATATCACTTCTTTGCTGTCCAGCTGCTAAAAGAGATATAATGCTGTGATTTGTTCACTGACCAATTAAGTAACAGTTTATTTTGGTGGCAGAAACGATTCTTATAACCTGAATAATGGTTAGAGGAGTAGTTACAGTAATTAACAATGCTGAAGGGAAATCTTTTTTGAAAAGTTACTTGAGCTAAACCTGAAATAAATAACAACCTCTATTGTTACCAGTAGAAAGGCAGCTGAAGGGGTTTTTGTCCTTCTTTCCTCACTACAATTGCACCACAGTGGTTTTGGCTTGTTCCTGAGCTGAGCAGTCTTCAGAGGGCACTTTGTGCCAGTGCTTGTACTAATGTTTTACTTTTTCAACCCCAGCAAAAGAACCTCTGTAATAACAAATGTAGCTATTGGAGATTTCTTTTATTCAGACATTATTTGATTGGCGATTTGGGCTGTTTTAAAGGCTTTTTCTTTTCAAGTTGTTTTTTTTTTTTATTCTTCAAATAGATAGAAGTCCATTTTCAGGGTAACTTTTAAAAACGCTGTGTTTTGAAATAAAATACTATTATTCTATTGAAATATGAAAAATAGACATATAAAGTATAAAAAAGAAAGATAATAAAACTCAATCATGTGTTAATTTTAAAGATAAATATTTTTTTGAGTGGCTTGAAAAACAGCTATTTACTTTAAAAAAAGTGTTCTAAATGAACAGAAAAAATCCTAAATCATAATTCATTCACTGGGATTACTGCCTTGTCGGAACATTTATGAGAAACTAATCCTCTCTCATTGCATTGTGTCAAGTAGTCTGCTAACATACCAAAATCTTTCATTGCTTGAAAAGATCAGGGCTAAGTCATGTCTTACAATATTACCTGGTGCTCAAGCAGGTCTTGAAAGTTTCCTATGCAATATGAAAGAAAGCATGACTGTTAAATGCTCTAATTATAGTTTTATCTTAGTATATTATTCATTTTAAGTCTCTCCATACTTACTTAGAAATGATCTTTTTTCTTCCTGAACCCATACACAGAAGACTTCCATGGGGATTAGGTATGAAAACAGCTTTTAATTGGCAAGTCGCATATGTTCATGGGGAGCAGCCCTAGGCTGCTACTACTGCCTCAGGGCTGCAGTAGTGCCTGTTGAAACCCTGCCATCTTCCTGTGGGTGATTCTCGCATGGTGAGTCCGTCTGGCCACAACGCATACTCCTGATAATCCTTGGAGCTTTCTGACTGCATCTGGACCATTTTCAGTGGAGCGGTTTTCAGAAAGATAATGTTGCTGCTGTTCCCCAAGCCTCCTCCAAGCTAGTGATTCACAAAAAAGCAAAGGCATAGTTTTAAGATCATGATACTTTCTGAAACTCTGATATAATAGTGACAATAGTTGCATGGCATGGGCAAGTTCCCTCCTATTAACTTGATCCCAGTTTGATATTGTCCTATGAAGAACTGAAAGTCTTTATTAACTCTGGTAAGAGTAGTTTTCGAGAAATAAGTTGTGCTATTTAGAAATACTGTAACATCATCTCACTCGTTTTGCTCCTGCTATGCAATCTTTGTCATGCAGTGGTACAGGAGGCAAATCACAGATTGAGCACCTGTCCCTCTGATCATTTGTTACTCCCACTTACTATGTTTGACAGGTTGTATTTCTGGGCAGGAATGGTCTCTTTCCAGCTATTTAACAGAAGACTCCTGGCAAACAGGGTACGGGTACTAATCAGCGCTCTGCATGTGACGGTAGTGTCGAATGATTGGAAATATAGGCACCTTCCCTTTTCAGAACGATATCTATCTTGTCTTGGTTAAAAATGACCTTTTATTTTTTTGGATCTGTGGAAGGTTGATTAGGTTTTGTTATATTATTGGAATTCAAATAGGTTTTGGATTGAATCCTAACCAGTATGTAAT